GAGAGAGAGAGAGAGAGAGAGAGAGAGAGAGAGATACATTTATCATAGATGTGCATTTGGCACTGAAAGGGAAACTTAAAAACATAAGACATATACCCAGCTTTCAAGCTGCTTATGCTCTAGTTTAAGATACAAACCTACCTGCATGATAATCATAATAGTATCCCATTTATGGAGTATTCTATGTGCTAGGTACTATGTTAAATGCTTTACTTAAAATAGCAATTAAAACATTTACAAATTATGAAATGGGGAAGTGCCGAAGAATGAACAACAAATGGATCATCTGTGGTAGGGAGAAAAAAACACACACACAAAAAAACAACCACGCACAGTGAAGATCTCGATTAGAGGCACTAAAGACCAGTGAAGGGTGACCTGGTTGCCTGCTTGGTATTGATTTTGATCTTTAGAAACAACGTTATTTTCTTTTTAAGAGGGATGCAGAACCTATTGGATGGCCTAAGAGGTAGGAAATTATGATTTTAAAATTTCTGTGGGCTCATCCTCAACAGCACTTCTTTCTGAAATAAAAAATATATATGATGATTTATCTTTTTGAGATAAAAATATAACTTTTTTGAGGTCTCAGATTTTATTAGACATTGGCCTTAGAGCCATTTAAGCTTGACATAGAATTATTAATAGTTAACAGCCATCTTCACTGCTTCCTGCTTTTACAGGATTTGGTTCCACCTCTAGTTCTGAGCAGTGTGAAGGTTAGGGCTTTAATGGGGGGCTTGGGTTATAGAACTTTAGCACTGGAAGGTACTTAGTCTGATTTCCTCATTTTACAGATGAAGAAACTTTGCCCAAGAGAGGTTAATTCTCTTGCCTGAGATCACATGATTTGTTGCAGAGCCAGAATGTAATTTTAGAACTCCTGACTCTTAATTCAGTGCTTTCCATTCACTCCTTCACCTCACCTCTCCACTTCTAGTTTTTTTCTGAGATATGAATGTGGCAGCATAACAGAAAATGATTTTGATGCTAAGTAGGCACTGCTTGTATAAATGATAATGATGACAATGCTCCACATTTGAGTTTGATTTTCAAAACTTGTTTAGCTTGTCTGCCACTATTAGTTTTACAAGTGATCGGGGTGATTGTATGGTCAACCCATCTATCATTTTGAATGAAGTGTTATAGTCACCTCACTCTATAACTTGAATAGCAGCTTTGGGGATAATTGAAATTTTAAGGCATAGCCCAGGTTTTGGTTTGGTGTCCTTTTGTACCACATTATTATTTTTTTGTGTGTGATCAACAGTGCTTCTAATGAAGAACGAAGTTGACTTGTTTAAATTGTGTATCCTTCATTTATCTGACATTTCTCAGTTGTATGCACTTGAAAGAAGTGGGATGGCTAACAAGCAGTGAGTGAGAGGAAGATAGAAAAAATCTTGAATAATCCATAAACTTAATAATCAATCCTTGACTATATCAAGAGTGAACTATACTTAGCCTTATGACATTTGAAATGCTCAAATTATATTTTAAATAGGAAAATAACTATTTTCTATCATACCCAAATTAGTATATGCATTATTTAATGCTGTGTGTTTATTTTAGAACATGATTCTATATTTTGCAAAGGCATTATTTTACATATGTTTTCCATTTTAATTCTAGTGTCTACTGTATTTGTTACTCTGGTATACCTAATGTTAATATTTGATGACCGTATTTACATAAGAAGCTTAAAATTTTGAGCATGATTGATTGATTGCTGTTGGTTCAGTGTAAAGAAGGGTGAAGGTGGAATCATAGTCTTTTTTAATAACTCAGGGCTGGTACCAGTTTAATCAGTTTGCTGCCTCTCGTGGCGCTTGTCGTTTTACCTAGTGCAGTGGTTCTTAACCTGGGCACTTTGCCCCTCAGGGGACATTTGGTAATATCTGGAGACATTTTTTATTGTCACGACTAGGTTGAATGCTATTCGCATCCAGTGAGTAGAGGCCAGGAATGCTGCTAAACACCCCATAGTGCATTGGACAAACCCCACAGCAAAGCATTATCTTGCTGCAAATGTCAGTAGTGCCAAGATTGAGAAGCCCTCACGTATGGCAGTTGTGAAATAAAGTATATTGAATCAGAAAATGCATTGATTCTATTACTTAAGTATAAGGCTTTATATATTTTATATGTATTTACATACCAATTTAACGATGCATAAGGGAAAATTTAGCTCTTTGCTTCATTATGCTTATAAAGTATTAAAACAATTTTGGCAATTATAATTAATTTTAGGTTAGTTGTACTCAGTTGAAATAGTATAATATTAATAATCAAATGTAAATTAACAGTAAGATTCAATGTTCTTATTTTGGACTTCCCTTCTACCTTAAGGTTTTCAGCTTCTTGGAATCAATATATTTTCCCTACAATATTTCCATTTGGATCTGACATAATCAATTCTCTGGAAAAGTTAATTATCCCAATGTCTAAATCAGTAATTAATCTGATAATCCTTGTCCTACTATATTCTACTTAATCTCATCTTTAGAATTTAAGTTTGAGATACTAAATAGATTTTGCCAAATCCGGTAGCTAGCAAAACAGGACTGTAGCTTCAAGCAACAAAGCTAGAGTGGTTCCCACAATCCCAGTGAAGTTGAAGCTGAATTATAATAGAGTTGTTTGCCATATGTGCATCATTTCTAATCCTACTTTAATATTACTATCACTTATTTTTGTTGACCTGATTTAATTTGGACAAAACTGTTTTAAAAAGAAGATAGATCCTTAACATTTCTGGGGGTGAGGAGTAGGAAGGGGTAGGGGATGACTTATAATTATGGGAAGAGTATTGAAAAGGACTTCATTGCCTTATGATCACACAAAAACTATGTGGTAACTTTTTGGATTTTCTTAAATAGTCATAAATGCCGCGATTAGCTGGAGGATTAATGGATGGTCATATTAAATGCTTCTTATTTCAATATGGTGCTTGTCAGAAGAAAAACCCATAGATAAAATATTGGAATTGCTGTTCTGTTCTTTTCATCCATGTGTTTTTTAACTTGACCAACTGATCTCTCAATCTAAGAAGTTTGGCTGATGTGACATACCTGAGAGGCATTTAGGATTTGTAACATTTATTTCTTAATATCTGGGCAACCAGAGTAGAAACAAATTCTAGATAGGTTTAACTGCCAAAGAGTTTGGAATTTGGAAATGTGATTTTGATACAGTTTTTTAGTTTTGGCATAAAAAAATTGCTTGGAGTGATCCCTTAACAATGGCAGTAATCTGATCAGTCCAAAATAGCCTGTGCTTTAGCAAACAGGAGAAATAAAAAGCCTGTGCCAGTGTATGAAGTTAGCACATGATAAATTAGGTGAAGTTGAGGAGAAAATAAAGAGATGCTGATATAATACCAGAAACTGTGTAGTAGTGTCACGGAGGTGTTTAAAAGGATTGTTTCAACGCGATGGATCTGCCATACTTTTCTGTTTAAGAGAAAAATTTCTAACTCCTAACAACCTAACCTCCCTCTTCTGTGGTGTTTTACTTGTAGTGGTTCTCAACCCTGGCAACACATTAAAATTGCTAGAAGAGTTTTTAAAAAATTACTGATGCCTGGGCTCCACTCTTAGCAACCCCAATATAATGGAGACTTGGACATTGGTATTTTTTGAGAGCTCCACAGATGAATCTAACTTGCAGCCAGGGCTGAGGTCCACTGCTTGATAGCAGTGCATCAGAATTGTCTGGAGGCCATTTTATTAAATCTGGGCTGGGGCCTGAGAATTTATTTACATTTCTAACAAGTTCCCAGGGGATGCTGATACGGCTGGTAAGGTGATCACACTTTGAGAACTGCTAAGAAGGCAGTCTTAAAATATCATTTGTGTGTAACTGGTCTGCTTTTTTTTTTTTTTTTTGAAAAATCATTGCTAGTGATATATTATTGGGTTAAAAATTATGATTAAAGAATAGCATCATGTATATGATTCCTTTTATATTAAAAGATGGATACTTCTGTATTGTTTGGATTTTTTTATTTACAGTGAGCCTTTTAACTTTGATTTAAAAAAATTTTTTGGAGGAAAACGCCACATCCATAATAACTAAAAACTTTGTATAGTACTTCATAGTTTAAAAATCTGATTAATTTATATTTTCTAGTTGGCTTTTTGAACTATTTAAAATAACTTGTGCTTGTGGTTTTTTCTTTTTCTTTTTTTAAACTTTATTGTTTGAGAATCCTTCAGATTTTAGATATTATGTTTTATATAGGGTTTTTTTTTTAAGATATCTTATTGGACGTAACACAAATAAAAAGATACATCCTCGTTCCACAGAAATTTCAAGCATTTTCAATTTGGTTAGTTTATTGTTTGAGATGGGAGAAATACTTTCTTTTTCCCCATCTTAAATATGCTGGGGGAACACAGAGCCATACACTGAGAAGAATGGGAGTAATTGGAAAAGAAAGGGAGAGCTAGTGCGTACAAGTTGGGGCAATGGAGAGAAAATGGAATCTTCCAGGTTTTGAAAGAGAGCAGCATGGGGAAAAGGTGGCCCATGATGTCCAGGCATGAAAGAATCAAGGGGATGGATAGGAGAGAGCTACCGGATTCAGGAGCTTGGTCAGTCAACGAGGTATTATATTAAGTGGCAGAGTCCTTTGAAATTTGGGTCTGTAAGACTCAGGGTTTGTTCTCTTTTCTGCAAAACACTTAGATAAAGGGGGGAAAAATATCAGTTTAATGAGCCAACTCTGCAACAAATGCAGCAAATGATGGTATTGAGACAATTATGAATCCTGGAAAAAAGTCTCTAGGTGGTATTGGTTTTTCTTGCTTGCTGTGTTTGGATATTGAGAATGTGTCATCCCGAAATGAGTTTCCAGTTACTTTCTGTGTTTCAGAAATCACCCTCAGCCTTTGATCACTGTGCTTGAACATAGACCTGATTGCTGGCCAGTACTTTTGCAGCAGCTGACAGCTTTTTTCCAGCAATGCCCTGAAAGGTAATATAACATAAAATAAGTGAGGGAGATAAAATTGTATATGCTAATTTTAAAACTTTTTGTTTTTTTAAGCTGCTTTGACTATAGTGTTTTCTTCTGAAGGAAAGAAATGTCTTTGAGCAGGGTATAGTTTTTTATATATATATATATTTTTAAAACCTACCAGATTTATTAATTGTTGAAATATTGAATATGAGAAAAGCTATTATTAAAGAAGTTAATTAAGCATTGGTTAGTTAGGAAAATTGATTAGAAATATTCAGGAAACTACCATACAATACATTTAGAAGATAGTTTCTTCCCCTTGGAAATTGATTAGTGAGTTAAATTCTTCCTATTAGAAACCTGCGAATTGGGATCAAGTGATACTGCCAGCTGGGACTAGATAGCCACCATTTGTACAGTTAGATTAGCTTCACCAAGGCCCCCTGATGGTCTTCAAAGCCACCCCCTTTCTTCCATCCTTACTACCACGGTACTGGCTTAGGCCACCATCTCTTGGCTTTTGCCACCTGTTCCTAAGTTACATCTCTGCCTGCAATCTTGTCCTGCTCAAATCCATTCTCTAAACATGCATCACAGTGATATATCATGAGAGCAAATATTATTATCACTCTTTCGTTGAAATCACCAGAATTGTGGTTTTCAAACTTGCAATGTATGGGCTAAGCACAGGGAATGCCTTACCCACGCCCTTCAGCTCTGTTCTTGTAGAACATGTAATACATGTTGATATGCTATCTATGGACGCTTTCTGTTGGAAAAAAGGAGTTTGGTTTCTGAAATAGTTGGAAAATCCCTGGGCTACAGCATGAAATCTAGTATGTCACACCAGGCTCTGTGTATGAGATGGTTTCTACCTGTTTTATCTTCTGTTTATCTCACAATTTATGAATTGTGAGTTCAGCAATAAACTGACTTGCTTTTGGTTCCACTTGGGAAGCAGTGCTGTCCCCTTGCCTCTGTGCTTTTGCTTGTAGGTACACACCTTACCCTCTCAAATCTTACCCCAACCCTTTCTGACTAATTTCTCTATTTTAAATCTGTTTAGGCATTTTCTCTACTAGTAAGCCATTGCTTACCGTGGGCTGGATTAGGTGTCTTTTTTATATACTCCCACTATAACTTCAGTTGTGATTTCTAATGTCATTATGTTTATTACATTATCTTATAATTACTCTTCTCTATTAAACCTTTCTGAGGGCAGGGACTATGTCTTGTTATTCTTTGTATTAATAATGCCTGACACATTTCTAGGTGCTCTATAGATGTTGGATTTATATGAGACACACAGATTGGTGGGGCCCAGGCAGTGGATTGTAGAGTGCCTCCTAATGTATAATATCACTATATACTTAGTACCATCATGCAAGGTCATGGGATACCATTGTCCTGGACAACCCCATGCCTGAGTTACATTCACCACACCAGCTGCACTCACGTTTTTCTGCTCTTGAAAGTCTTACAGTGTCCTATACAGTTTCTGAGAATGCCATTTGAGTCCATAACTTCAATTTTAGAAGTCGTGGAATCTTTAGGTAGGATATACTGCTACAGCAGTTTTAAAGAGATATAGGGAAACTTGTAATCATCTGCCAGTGAGGAAAATTTATGTAGCATTTGAATGAATAGCTCAAAATAAACACCATTACTCTCTTCTCCCACCTAGGATTACATTTTCAAAGATAAGATATTAATATTTACTAAATAAGTCTTGAACTATGTCAGAAACCAAAACTTACAAATTTATAAACACAATTGTTTAAATAAATATGATACTTTATAAAAGATGCTGCCGCCGATGTGCCAAATGTGTCATTAAGCTTGTTAAGAATATCTTTCCCTTCCAATGCTTTAGTAATTAATTTAGATTTTGGCTATTTTCATTTCAAAGGCGTATTATGTTGGGGTTTGGAAGTAGTTATTCTAATGTAATTTGTCCAGATATTCATAAGGAAAAAAAGATTATTAATTGACTTGGGTGTATTTATTGATAAACTTCTATTGACTTTTTTCACTTAAATTCTTAGGTGTTATAGAGTATGTTATCTAGAGCATTTTGGAGGTTCTAAATTATATTTATTTGCAAAGAATAATTTCAGTTGCCTCATTTCTACTTTTGCACTATAAGTTTATTCTTTCCATTTTTTCTTTTTAGCAGACTATTAGTTTCCTAAGATTTAATTTTAGAGTAAGTTAATTCAGTAGTTTTAAAGTTGTTGTTTAGAAGGTAATGAAAAAAGGTTGGTAATTTAACAAGAACTTAAATATTGATTCACAACTACGGGAAGGAGGCAAAATGTTGTGAAGATAGCTCATATTCTAGCTCTTTCTGTGTTAGGAATTATTGCATATATAGATACATGCACATTTGTTTGCATTTTTAAACATTTTTAATCACTTTGGGATTTCAGATGATCTGTTTTATTATTTTCCTTTTCTCCTTAAGCCTTGTCGACTAATACCCCTTGGAAGTGATAGTTAATCATGAGATACCACATAGGAAATGCAGTACCTAAAATTGGGGCAGATTAAGCCAAGGAGATTTTTAAATAGTATGTTGTTCTTAAGGAAGTGCAACATTATACTCCTGATGTAATAACAGCATCTTGGAAATATATTTCTTTATATGAACCTTACATTTCACCTTCAGCATCTCGAAGTAGGAGAAAACTGATAAACTATTCATGGATGTTTTTGACACCTGGATAGCATTTATTCTTTGGGGAATACATTATTGGTGAGATGGGAAACGATGTTTCTTAAATCTCTTTTCTAACATGCTTCATATTCTAACCATACATATATCATTCGCTTGCTTGATATATAAAGCTTTCTTCAGTTTCCTAAAGTCGATGGTGTGATAAAGATCTATCTTTCAATAATAATTATGAACTCGAAAGTCTTCCTTTTGTTTTTTTATAGCTTGTGTAAGTATTTGGGCTCATGAGAGAAAAAAAAAATTCCTGCATATAATGAGCTCCATCACATCAAAGATTTAATCTGTTTTTGTCTCTTGGTTTTTTTCTAGCATATAGAAGAGTAAATGGTATACTATAGGTACTCAGTATGTTTTGCCAAGTGAATAAATGAATGAATGAATAAATCTTTTCAGATTTGGTAACTTAAATTTTTATTTATATTAATAGTATTATTTAATCACATTGCTGTGGAATATATAGTATTATAAAATTATGTTGTCAAGCATAATTCAAATGCCATTTCCTCCATGAAATGTTGCACTTTATACCTTTGTTTTTTTGTGAATTTCACCTATTTTCTAGTCTAAGAACAGAACTGGTTGCCCTGTTAAGACTATGTGCCTCTAAAAATAGATAATGCCTGTTCATCTTTGTTATCTTATCTAATAACTTCTTAAGTTTAATAAATATGAACAACTAAAATAAAATTATGGCATTTAACTGATGCCTGCTAATTGTAAAGCCACTTTATAAATTAGTGTAACTGAATCAATTAATTTAATGATTGAGCATCTCTTTGCAGGCCTACTGTGTAGTATTGTTATTGATGATACAGAAGTAAACAGAAATCCATGGGCCGTGCCCTCATTTGGCTTATAGTCTGGCAAGGGATAGAGAGATTCAATACCAACAATTAAGTCATTGTCCTATGGGTGCACATGATGTGCCTGTAACCTAGGCGAGGTGTCAGGGAAGGCCCGCAGGAAGTCACTTTAAAGGAGAGCACTGAAAGAAGATCAACATTAGGCAGGGGAAGGAACAGGAAAGGGAGAAAAGGAAGAGTATTACAGGTACAGGGAACAGCAAGTGAGAAAAAAGTCCAGATGACTTGATTGAAGATCTGAAAGAAGTTTAGTGTTGTTTAATGGAGAATGGAGAAGAGCAAGAAATGAGGCTGGAAAGATAAGCAGTGGCCAAATTATGGATGGTTTGTGAATTGGGCTAAATATTTTATCTAAGCATAAACTTTTTTATGCTTGTTAATGACATGATCACATTTTTATATCTGAAAGAGCATTCTGGCATTTTACTGACTTTGGACTTGGAGTTATTGGGATATATTGAAATCTAAGTAGATATGAAAGATTTGTAAGATCTGCCGATCTGCCTCCTTTGAGTGGGAAGAGCTTAAGGGGAAGAACTTGGCAAATTACTTCACTTCTCCCTGCCTTAGTTTCTGCATAATAGGATACATATATATTTTTTATTTCATAGGATGGTAAAGATCAAATGACTTTAAAGGCATAAAATGCAGTTACTTGCACACCATGTTAATGAGTTGACAAGTTAAATTAACTCATAATCTTCTCGGGATGTCTGTATGGCCTTTTTTTTTATGTAGAAACCTCACCTATAGAGTTTTTCCAAAAATGCATGCCTGTTTCATACTCCTAGAGAATGGGTACTGACATCTATAATTTCAAAAATGTTCTTAGATGATTTTAATGTTCACCAAGGACTGACCCTGGAGCTGTAGATGCCATTCTAGTGTGCAAGTAGTCCTGGGCATCAGGCTTATGGTCCCCAAGGGCTGAGTCATTTTCCCCAGTGCACAGAGACCTGTTTGGTGTGGGTCTAGGTGGGTCATGGTGGAATAGAAGAATCATTGAAAAATAGTTACACTTGATGGTATCATAGTTTATGATAGGTTATGAACTATAAGTTGGTATTTGACACTTACCTGCTGGGTACTCTGTTTAGCTGAATGACTGACTTCTGCATTTCATGACTCGCAGGTCAGAAGTTTCATGTCTCCAAATAATGGCGCCATTTCTCTGGTATCTATATTGTGAACCGTCCCAGTTACAAGAATATGCTAAACTCCGACTAGCCCTACTAAAAGTTTTGCTTCAACCCCGAGTTCTTTGTGACAAAGAACAACCATCAATATTGGAACAACATATACTTCAGCTGTGCTGTGACATGGTTCCGTGTTTGCAGGTAAGGCCTTTCATCCTC